ATGGAACTCTTTATATTATCTTTAAAGATCTGCTTGAAAAGTTACTATTGCAACAAACCTGAACAAAGAAAAACTGTTGAAGTCCAAAAGCAAAGATTTTTTTTACTGTCACTGAGGTCCAAAATAAGACAGAACCAAGCATTTTACAGACATATGACCACCTAACCTATAACTAAGAAATATTACTCCCCTGTCAGTGTTGCAAATTGGTGATTTAATTAAGCTACTCTGTTTTATGACATTTTCAATACTGATTAAATTAGCTGATGCACTAAAAAATTTTTTCCCTCCATCAGCATATGTGATATGTGACTTTATCTGTGTAGCTGATTATCCATGCTGCTGATCTCATTCTGCTGATCTAATGCTGCTGTATTCATTCGTACCCATCTGCTCACACAGACTCATGTTCAGGCTGCTGTTGTTACGCCGTATTGTTTTACATTATTAGTGTTTAGCGTATATCTTAAAAGCGTGTATATCTTAGATCCTTATTTACTGTTTCTTTTTATACTTTATGTTTTGCTATTTTTGGATGTAACTGTGTACATAATTTCATTCCACCTCATGTACCACATGTGATGGTAATGACAATAAAGTTGACTTGAACTTGAATTTAATACAAAACAACACCAAAACCTTTCTTTTTATGTCTGACTGTACTCTCAGTGCAGTGGAAATATGCAGGTGTTTGTTCAGGTTCTTGGCAGTGTGGGTGAAGTGCGCAGAATAAGAGGCTGCTTCTTCTTCTTCATCCCTGGGATCACGGCCCTGCAACAACCATCAGCAGCCAGGATGAATAGAGGCTCTGTATGCTTTGGCAGCATCTCCACCGGCCTTTCAGTAAACAGACTGCCCAGCAGCACTGTGGGAAGAATGGTTAGAAATAACAAGTGAGCTCTAGAAAAATCTCCATAATGAGAAAACACAAACAACAAAATTTTCCATAATTTATTATTTACCTCTAGTTTTATTTATTCATAAATTGTTGTCTATCACTGTTTTCCTGTATGGCTCTTTAAGGATTGAGCCTTTTATCTCTGCACACTTTTGATCATCTTCTTTATTTCTTTAAACTTTCTCTTAGCTGAACCCTCATCTTTTCCAACTCAGAATTGTTTTCGTTTGGTGAACGCAGATCAAGATATCACTCAACTTCAATAATTTTAATTGGAGAGGTACTTAGTACTCAGGATCTATTTAGAGAACAGCTGATGTGTTCAACATAATGGTTCTTCTTTCAGCTATTTAACTGTTAACAATGGTGTGCCACAAGGCTCAGTCTTAGGACCCACCCTCTTCACGATCTACATAAGTAATGTAGGTCAGATCATTCCTGATGCATCCTTACATTTCTATACAGATGACACAGTTGTTTACTGTCGAGCTAAATCAGCTGCAAAGGTTTTTCAGCTCGTACAATCCGCATTCAACATTATCGAGTCAGATTTGTTCTGTCTCAAACTGGTGCTAAACGCTGATAAAACCAAAGGGATGTTGTTTTCAAACAGGAAGTCGGTCCCAGCAGTCCTTCATTCTTTCTTATCTACGAATGGTGTTCCTATTGAGTTTGTAGATTCTTACAAATACTAGGGAATGTTGGTCACTTCACATTTCTCTTTTAAGCCTCATGTTGAAAACTTGATAAATAAATTGAAAGTAAAACTGGATTTCTTTTTCAGAAATAGAGCTTGTTTAAGTCTGAACGCTAGGAAACATCTTGTATACTACTTTCCTTCCCTCCATTGATTATGGTGACATTATTTACATGAATACTCCTGCAAGCACCTTGCAGATGTTGGACACGGTCTATCATGGTGTGCCAAGATTCATAATTGGCTGTACTGCACACATCACTGCACTCTGTATTCACAGGTTAACTGGTCGTCATTAACTTCATACACTCACACATTTTCATCTTTAAATCACTTCTTGGTCTGTTTCCTTCATATATCTCCACATGTCATGTCATCAGTGCAGCTAGACATCATTACCTGCAGCGTCCTCTTAGTGCGGACTGAATTTGGCAAAAGGGCCTTCTCTACTGCTCCTGTATCCTGGATTACCTTACAAAAAGATCTCACGTTGCTGACTTTGACCACTCTAAGGAATTTCTAAGTTCATTGTAAAAATCATTGCAAACACGTTCCTGTTTTAGTATCTTACACTGTTTTATAATGTAGCTGTTTTTGTTTTTTTATTTACTTTTCATTTTATATGCTTTTAATAATTGTCTCTTGTTGTCTGTATCTCATCTGTGTTCTTTGTTTAAAACATGTCCCTCTTGAAAATGAGTGCAGGTGACTCATTGAGACTAACCTGTATAAATAAAGGTTGAATGACAACAGTGAACAGCTTTATGCCTGTATAAAGAAAACGTAATTTATTAAAGTCACAGCAGGCAATTTCAAATAAAACCAACAAAAGTTAACTATTAATGCTTTGCTTTGTTTTTTGTTTTTCAGTTTTTGCTGTGCTCTTCTTGCCAGGAGGTAAAATGTTGTTATTTCTGTGCACTGCATTAATTAAAAAAAAGATAACAAGAATATATAATAATGTCCTTTTGGTGCTCACCATTCACATGTTCCCTTGTCGCATCAGCCTGGGGTCAGAGCGGCAGCAGTCTCGGTGTTGTGGTGGAGGCCAAGAACATCACTGCCGCTGAAGGCTCGACGGTCACCCTGCCCTGCCAGAGCCCCCGCATGGTGTGGACCCAGGACAGACTGAAGGACCGTCAGAGGGTAGTGCATTGGGACTTAGTCCGCACCAGCCCAGAATTATCTATGGAAAGAGTTCTGGATATGTCACCTGGAGCCCACCAGAGAGTTTATAATGGCTTCAACAAGGGACGCATTTCCATGCCAGACTCTGCCTTCACTGATGGAAACTTCTCTCTTGTCATCAACAGTGAGGCTCTTCTACCGTCCTGCAGGTCTGGTACCACAGCGCACTGTCATTCCTAATTTCTCTAAGGGATTTGTCTTTTCTTTTTTTTTTAGATGTGGTCGCAACTGACAAGGGTGTGTATACATGTAACCTACACCACCATTACTGCCAGGTACACCAGTCCATTCAGATCCAGCTCAATGTCACCAAGTCAGGTGAGGCTATCTGGTCATGAATTCCTCTCTCTGAGTTACAATACATGTAACAGGAATTAAAAAAAAAAAACTTTCTCGTGCTGATTTGGTTTTCCAGCTCGGAAGGAAAAGCGGTTTTGGGATGGCGAGAAGACCGTGTTTGTGGTCTTGTTGGGCAGCTCTGTGGTGTTGCCTTGTGTGAACCGGAGGTCTCTTTGGAGAGAGGGTCTCCAGGAGGACCAGCAGCAGGTGGCTCACTGGGACTTCCAGCCCCCAGGAGTGCGTCCTGACAAAGCCGACCGACTGGTGGACCTCTACGCCTCCGGAGAGAAAAGGGATTATGGGCCCCTGTTTGGTCAGAGGAAGATGAACATACTGGAGGATGCTTTTACACTCGGGGACTTCTCGCTCTTCATCTCTGACTTGAAAGCTGTGGATAAAGGCTTGTACTCCTGCCACCTGCACCACCACTACTGTGGTCTGTATGAGAGGCGCATCTTCAGACTCACTGTGGGACCTCGGCTTCCATTTGAACCCATTACAACTCGCAGAACTTTCCTTAATGATGAGCTAGAACCAAGTAAGCATCAAACATCACCAGAACTTTGCATTTTCTAGAAGTCCTTCGCTTGGCTTCTTTTTAATGGTCCCCATATTAAATCATCTACCTCCATTTCACACTGCTGCATCCTTTGCTGTCACACCAATCCTCTGTAGATCCTCCTTCACTACATCCATGAATCTTCTCTATGATCTCCCTTTTCACCTGCCTGGCAGCTCCACATCCAACATCCTGTGTCCAACATATTCACTATCCTTCCTCTGTGCATGTCCTAACCATCTCTGTCTCTTGTCCTCAACACTGAACTGTCCCTTTGATTTATTTGTTTCTCCTCCTGATCATTTCAGTCACTCCCAATGAAAAGCTTAACATCTTCATCTCGGCTACCTCCACCTTCGCCTCCTACATTTTTAATACTACAATGTCCAAACCAGAAATCACAGCAGGTGGATGGTTGACAACAGATACTTAAACTCATCCATCAAAGTTCACGCTCAATAATTCAGGTTAAAAAAAATCCAACAAAGTTAAATCAGGTCCTCTGGACAGTTTCTTTTTTTTGTTGTCGAAACGTTTCATCCTTCATCCAAAGGACTTCATCAGTCCAAGGAGTCACAACAAACTCAGTCCCACAAGCAGCATCACATAGTGGGTTAACCAGTTTGATGGTGATAAGATGGTTTCTGAAGTCCGCCCTCTACCCCGTCGACTCCTCCGAAGCAGCCATAGCCAGATTTTTTATCTGGATTATTGAGCATGAACTTTGTTGTTTTGAACCACTTTGGCTATGGCTGCCTCAGAGGAGTCGACGAGGGAGAGGGCGGACTTCAGAAACCATCTTATCACCAGCAAACTGGTTGACCCACTATCTGAGTGTGCTGCTTGTGGGACTGAGTTTGTTGTGGCTCCTCTGACTGATGAAGTTCTTTGGATGAAGAACGAAACATTTTAACCAAAAAAAAAAAAAAAAAAAGAAAGAAAAAGAAACCGTCCAGAAGACCTGACTTAACTTTGTTGGGTTAAACTCATCCACATTCAAGCTTCTACTTCTTGGAGCTTCACTGCTGCACTGCTCAATCACTTACATGGAAAAATAAGGGTTGGTTTATTTGTCACATGCAAAATCAACAGAAGGTCAACAATGCAATGAAATGCTCAAGACGAGAAGAACCATCTCGACTC